AGTCATGTGTTTAGAATTTTGAAAGATCCCATCTTTTTGGCAGGCATCTTCTTTTCAGCAAACCCCCTTCCAGTGTCAGGCATCAGCCGAAGATGGGTATAAACGCTCACTGGGGTTAAGTTTCTCCAATGTGGAAAATCTTTTAAAAGTAAATTTATATTGATAAGATCTGATTACATAAGATCGGCCAGACTGGGTCAGACCAATGGTCCATCTAGCCCAGTATCCTGTCTTCCAACAGTGGCCAATGCCAGAGCCCCAGAGTGAGTGAACAGAACAGGGAATCCTCGCGTGATCCTTCTCCTATCATCCATTTCCTGCCTCTCTCGAACAGAGGCTAGGGACACCATTCCTACCCACCCTGGCCTCTGGAGACACTGACAAGGACTCGTGACCCCAAATGTAAGCTTTGCATGAAGCTTGAACACAGATCAAGGTAACTAAAAAAATAAGGGTCAAACTGAAACTCAACAGCCCAAGGATCAGAAAGTGGAACTGACCCAGCCTAGTTCCTCCACCCAAACTGCCTCAGGGCAAAAAGTAAACAAACAGCGGACAGGGTGCAAAGTAAATGATTGATTGATAGGCAGTTCTGTGTAACTGAGATGTAAAGTTCAGTCTGAGACATTTTAAGATGTTGGCTTTGGTAAAAACAGGTAAGAGAACTTTTATTTCTTATGGCTATCGGATTTTAGTTTGGCCATGCCATTTTAAAATCGCCAATAGCATCCAAATCATCCGTTCCTGCTCTCCTTTCTCCCCCTTCCTGCTGGCGTTTTCTTCTAGGAACAATTCCAGAACATTGTTAGGCAGCATGAGGGCTACTTGTTACAGAAGCTTGCTGCGTTCCTGGCTGCTTCTGTGCTATTAAAGAGCAATTTGCTTTGAGAGTGACTCTGTAAAACTGGCAGCCCAGGGTTCCATGTTTCTCTCTGGGCCTCAGATCACATATGGCCAGTTTACAAGTAAAACATTATTTTTTTAAAAACTGGCAGTACTGCAAACTCCGCTTGGGATCTGAATCTCAAGCTGGGCTCTGTTCTTCTCACACACCATCACCAGTAAAAAAAATACTTTGCACTGAGTGAATCTTGTGCTATCTGATCACCTTCAGTGGCAGCACACAGGTGGGAACTTAGCCCATAACTGTCAATGATGTCGCACAAGTTTGAACTGAACCCTTAGCTATGCTGGCTCTGCAGGGGTAATGGGGGGGGGGGATAAAAACTTATTTCTGTTCTTGAGATCAGCACTTCTGACTAAGCATCCCCAGGGAGTAGGTCCATTGGGAAAGGAGACTGCATGTTTATATAGACAGTCCTCCACACAGAGCTGCGCATTAATATTTGCCTTGTGCTTTGATGATGAAAAATTCCTAGAACAGCTAATTATTCAGATTCCATCTAGGCCTCTACAGTCTCCTCTGCTGTGGGGACTCGTAACGCTGGTCACGAGTTCTCTGCAAAGAGTGGCGTGATGACCATTTTGCATTCATTAACCTATTTACAAAACATTTTAAACTGCAACAATTAACACAAAGAAAAGCTCGATTACTTGGCTTCCTTTTCATTATCATTTGCATAAGTAAATGAGTCCTTCTCCCAGTCTGTTCTCTTCCTCCCTTAAGTGAGGGACGTCTTTCCTGGCATGCAGTACATCTGTATTTCAAACAGCATCTTCCATTCAGACTTCACAGAGAAATTGTGAGAGGCAGAAAGAGAGAACTTGAGAAATGGAGAGTCAATCAAAGGCTGGAAGAGGGAGACTGGTGCAGACGTCAGAAATTACAAGGCAGGAGGGGTTCTCTCTAGCAATGCGAATTGTGTGCACACTTTGGCGAATTATTCCACCCTAAATTAAGAAAGTGCCTATTTTAGGGCCTAAATGGAACCACACAGAAACTCAGTGAAATGCAAGAAGCCCACACTTACAAGCAGGTTGTAGTCCAAAAGTTTGTTTATAAGTCGGTTGTTTGGAACTTGGAACGCATTTTCCCATAGAAACAATGCTATAAATGGTAAACTCCCAGGCTAGCCCACAAAAATCTATTTAACTGTAACAGCTGAAATACTGTATATCTGCAATGAAAAATAGTAACAATAGTGTTTTATGTAACCTTGAATACTGGTGCTTGAGGAAAGGCAGGTTTAATTACAGAGGGATGAGGAGGTAGGTGGAGATTCTGAAGGGGACTTCTGGGTATTTCCCGGCTGCCAACACCCGCTCCCTCCCATGGGTTCTGCACTGGCTCCTGCAGCCAGCCCCAGCCCCGGGCACCACCACCCTCTCCGCATGGACTGCTCCCAGCCCCCACTCATCAGGAGATGCTGAGTGGCGAGCGAGGGGCTGGAGACTTCCGAAGGAGCAGTGGGCGGCTGCAGTTTCCCTTTTAGAGCTTCTCTCCAGCCTCTGGCTTGGCAACCTGCTTCTCCAGAGTCCACTGGCCAGCCCTTGCTCCGTTCAACACTGCCGTTGCCTCTTGCCTGCCCCCCAAGGCTGAAGATGAGCTTTTGTCTCCATGTGCGGATGTTCTTTAGTCGGGTATTTATAACTCAGGGGGCGCCTGTATGGACACTGGCATGGGCTTGCTTACAGGCAGTCCCCGAGTTACATGGATCCGACTTATGTCGGATCCGCAGTTACGAACAGGGCCGTCTCCCTGGTTTCCAGCAGACCAGGGAGAGGAAGCAAAGAGGCGGAGCACGCGGGCAGCGGACAGCTCAGACGTGTCTGGGCTGTCCGCTGCCCGCGTGTTCCGCCGCTTTGCTCTGCTTTGCTCCCCGTCCCCTTGGCCCGCAGACCAGGGGAACGGGGAGCAAAGCAGAGCAAAGCCGCCGAGCCCGAGGGCAGCAGGACAGCCACGGCGCGTCTGGGCTGTCCCGCTGCCCCCGCGCTCTGCGGCTTTGCG